GAAGCCAGTCGAAGTGGTACGGGTGTGCCCTAAAAGTGTTGTCCAAATTAGGAAGAAACTTTATACAAACTGTACACTGACATTGTACTTACATTCATGTTAAACAATACTTTTATTTAATCTTTATAGTATTAATTAAAAAGTTGTTTTCGGCTATTGACAAAACAATAACTACCGCAAACTTTAACCATGACTTTAAGTGTGTAATATTTATGATGCTCTTGTAAATCTTGAAGCTACAAAAAACTACCCCCCCCCCCCCCCCAAAAAAAAAAAACAAACAAAAAAACAAAAAGAAACAAAGGATCTTTAATGCAATTGGTTCGCAGTAACCATGAAAGATATAAAACATTTATTACAGAATAGGTTCCAAAATTGTTTAAAAGCCTCGGAGTTGATTTAGATTATTCTTGCACCTGTAAAACAATCATTCAGAAAAATTCATCTCGATTTTCTTTGTCTGCATGTTCAAATCTTGTCAGATTTTTATAAAATGTATATCAACGGTGTATATCAGGCGTGTCACAGACACTTCGAAATCAGTGTTGATCAACTATTTTTAAAAGAGATATATCTCTTGGAGATACAAATTCTACAGAAAATTGCACTGTGATTGCTCTCACGTGTACAATTCTTGCCTGATATTTATAAAATTTGGTATTGCCCTTGGACAGATAAAATATGTGAAACGTGGGGAAATTGGAACTCTGTTCTTTTTTATTCTTATCAAAATCAATTTGAACAGGAGTATGCATTACTACAGAGCCCCTTCAATGACCCATGTAAATACAAATATTTTCGTTTGAAAGAGATTTAATCTGGTGCGCACCAGTTTAAAAAATCGTGCGCACTACTTTACAACTGGTGCGCACAACTTCGAAACTCGTGCGCACGACTTCGAAACTCATGAGCACGACTTTTGAACTCGTGCGCACGACATTTTAAAATTGGTTCGCACGACTTTCAAACTCGTGTGCATAACTTTCAAACAAAGTTTGACTGACTTGATACGAACTTGCGCACGAGTTTGATTTTGTACGCACGAGTTTAAAGGTCTGGCGCACCATTTTTTAAAGTCGTGCGCACGATTTTTTAAACTGGTGCGCACCAGATTAAATCTCCGGCAAATAAAAATATTCATATTTACATAGCACTTAAGGGGCTCCGTGCTATTCTCTAATACTATACACAGTGGGAACAAATAGCCCCAAAACAAAAAAATAAAAAAAGATTGTTCAATAGTATTATCCAATTCCCTTTTAAAGTATTCGTCAGTTGTGAAAGGACCATTTTTTAAACTTGAAAAGGGGTTGTTTTTTTAATGTAATCGGTAAAAAAATATCATATAACTGGAGCAAGAAATATTTGTTGTACAAATTTTTGAATTCTGAACATATCTGTTAGTGAGCTTACACGAAAAAGCCGATTTCTGCCCTTCAGTAAAAAAAAAACTCAATTGATTTGAGAAATTTATCCTATCAACACACAAAGATTGAGCATGGTAAAATTAATTAACGTACACATTATTTTGAGATCACCCCTATACCTTACCTGTATGATTTGTAGACGTACTCGTACTCGGACTAGGAGTCTGACAGTTATTGTAAATCTCTAGTACTAAGTATTGAAGACTTAATCACTTTGATAGGTGATAGGCCACTAGTCTAAATACCACATGTTAAGATAGTCGGTAAAAGAAATTCATTGCACAGTGTGCTGCTGACCTAATACGATATATATGTGGTCAGTAAATTCCATATGGGGATTCGAGCTTCGCTCTCACCACATATGGAATTTACTGACCCCATATATATCGTATTAGGACACTAGCACACTATGTAACTAATATTACATTTCCATGTGATTTGCATTTCACGATCTATTACATTATGTTGTCCCTTAACCTTTCAAAGCTCAGATCTTCAAATGTTTGGCATTTCTGAATCTGCAAAATTATGTTGTTACATCCCTTGACCCATAACCTTATTATTTTGATACTGATCTATTACATTTCCAAGTGTATGTTACTTCTGGATCTGTAATATTGTGTTGTTTAACCTATTATTATTATTATTAGAGAAAAGATGTCAATGTACCGGTTTTAAAAAATAACAACAATTGTATAATCAATTTTTGTTCAATTGCGAGCATCTTTAACAAGAATACACACACCAAAACGAGATTATTTTAAAAACCTTTCTATTGAACTTGTAAGATAAAAGTGTATATTAACTTTTGAAATTTATACAAAAGTATCCATCAAGTTAAACAACAGCGTATTGTCACTTGTCATGATAATTTACAACACAAACCATTAACATTTTATACAATTTTCTTATTAGTGGTCAGGTGTATTTGTTTCAAGAGCTTTCTGAAATATTTTTGGTTGTTGAAAGGAGTTGGTTCACAAAGCTCAAATTGGCCCTGAGATTGGAAGTTTTTTTTTAAATCAGGCCAAAGTACTAAAAATTTCACATATAATTAGTTGTTATATTACTATTTATACAAAAGAAATTGTTTTTGTGGCACCTCAAATTATAAATTTTGATATAAGACCCCTACTTATTCATAATTTGTGTTTAATCGTTAGTTTTGGGTAAAAAAAAGTCCATAATTTATCACAGTTTATAGCATTATTTACTTTGGCAGTCATCTCCGATCCAGAATGTTTTTGTGTCAAGTTATTCTATGTTAACATAAGCACCTGTTGGATCGTAGGCTGTGGCCAAGGTTCATCTAAAGCTTTTAGGTATGAAAAATGCAAAAAAATCATCGTATTTCGACAAGATCTCTAAACAGTGCACACTTCTGAGCCTTTTAATGTACTTTCATAAAGAGATTTATTTTCCTTAGGATTAAGACATTTGAAAAAGATCCGTAAAAAACAAAAATGTGGACCTTTTTGATATTTTATGATAAAGTTGATTAACTTGAAATTCAAAGCCATATTTTGTCAAAAGTGAACCTTGTCCTTAAATTACTCAAACTCGAAATCTAACATAATTACCATATCAAGTGGTTTCACATCAACATTTTTTTATTTCAACAAAACATTATATTCAAAAAAAGATTGTGTAACAATTAAGGTAATAAGAATTCGTTAACCACAACACAATATGGTGGCAATTCTTTTTAAGATTTAATATTGCCCGTTTAAGGTCAAAGAACAGTAAATGGGCTATGTCACAAATTTTAGTAAATTTTTGCATACAACTTTAGCTATGAAAATAGAAAAAATAATGCATTTATCTCTTAAATTGTCTGAAATATTACTAATTAAATTCTTTCAAAATAGGTGAACATTTGTATAAAAAGCACATAAGATAAGCTTGCATTTGTCTTTAAATCATCAAATCTCCAATCACAAGTACATAGATATTTCTTAAAAAACTATATGTTGTTAATGCGTAAATTTCCGTTTTAATGATGTAAAATAATCAAAGGGTAACCGACTTCCATTTTGGTGTATTAACCAATTAGTTACCTAGCTGGTAGTGAAAAACGTCAAAAATCGACGTTTTACAATTTACAACGTTACTCTTTTTTCGACGTTTTGTGGTATTCTTTCACCTATAACACTACTTTGAATGATGTATACCGTAAGTATGATGTAATTCGGTAACCCTATTATCATTTTACATCATTAAAACGGAAATGTATGTACCAACAGCATATAATTTGAAAAATCTATGTACTTGATACTGGAAATTTGATGATTTTAAGACAAATTTAAGAACGTTTTTTTTTGCCGAATGTATGTGCTTTCTATATAAATATTCTATTTCAAAGAATTCAATCAGTACATTTCAGGATTTTTTGACCCCTAATTCCTTAACTGTTGGTATCTTAACCCCCAAAATCAATCCCAACCTTCCTTATGTGGTATTGAACCTTATGGTAAAATTTCATAGAGATCCATTCACTTAAACTTAAGTTAGAGTGCGAAAACCAATGTTTCTTCGGACGACGACGACGACGACGACGCCAACGTCATACCAATATACGACCGCAAAATTTGTTTGCGGTCGTATAAAAATCTCTAGCATTTGAATTATTAGTATGTTTGAAGTTGCACGAGTCACCACGAATTACATTGGTATTAATATCATTAAAAATTCAGAACCATATACCGTATCTAAATTTGACTCATATAATCACACTACATGGTTTTATACTTTACCAATGTAATTTCGGAGAATATTGATTGCTAAATTTTGGTTCAATACTTCAAAGTTTTATGTTGCTGTACAATTATTAATTATTCTGCTTGTTTTGGGGGATACAAATGTACTAGTATCTATATTGTTAAAGTGAGATTTTTTTGTAGTTGACTATTTACAATGTGCTTGTTTAATTGTACTGCTAGTTTTTTCACTGACCAAGATTGACTGTTGATTCTTCACACACACAAAATAATAACTTCATGTTGTTGTGCCTGTTCCTAATCAGGTATTTTAGTACTTATCTGTGTTAGTTTATCTATGTTTTTGTGTACATTTACAAGAACTGAGTTGTTTTCAAGTCCTATGTCATCTCTTGAATTTATTCAATAACCGTTTAGACGTGTGGTGCTTTAGAGCATGTCCATCCTTGAAGGATGTATGGTGACAAACATATGTCAATTTTTAGTAAACTTTTGTTCTTGGGTTGTGTCTCATTGCATTTTACACCATACCCATTTCTCCTTTTCTTGAGGTGTATGTTACAGATCATAACTTTGATAAAAATGTATTTTCTTACAACTATTTACTAAAACTAAATAAATCAATCTGAAAACAAAATGACATTAACAACTTCATATGGAACTCTAAGACAGCTAGGCTTCAACTAAACTGAACAATTCGAAGGTCTCTTAACTTATCTTTCTATTCAATGATAGTTGCAGTGATTTCTGACTTAACCAAGTAAAATGTTCCATACAAAAAATGCATAATATGTTTTGATTCAGATAACAGAACAAATAGGGCTTGGATTTTTTTTCATTGACTTAAAAACAAACAAAATATTCATATATTTTAATGGTTTTACCTTATATGCATTTAAAAGTACTGTCTGTTAACATAAATGTATCATAACTAAAAGACCCTTCACAATATTTGTAGTACATCTGGAAAATATATCTGTTAGCTTCAGTATAACAACTATTGTGAAGGGGTCTTTTCATCAAATCTGCACGAGAATTGGAATGAAATAATGGAGATGAATAAAATTTTGACTTAAAACTTTACAACTGGTCTGTAAAAATACATGTATATGGCACTTCTTACCACTTAGGTAATTATATTTCTCAATATTTGTAACTGAAGTTAATGAAAGAAAATTAAATTTTTCTGTATCCAGCTGGCAGCTTACCAAAAATGTATTATTCCCTGAGCACCAACAAACTGCTATCGCATGCAAATTTGATAACAACTAGCTTCGGACTGTTCCAGAAATGATTGTATGGGGAGGATAAAATTAAAAATGGTGGGTGGTTGCATTTTTCTACAAAAAAAAGAAGACTTATATAGAATTTTTTGAAATTTCATTTTGGGGGTATTTGGAGTTTAAAAAAGCAAATATCTCCATGCAAGTGCAAGATCATGGAATAGTCCTTGCAAATATTGTTCTGAACTAAAAACTAATTACAGCCACAGTATGAATAAAATGTAATACATTAATTTGAAAACAAACAAGACCAAGAAACTAACAAATGCATTTTAAAGTAAAGTTATCCATAAACAAGTTAATTGTACATACTTTCAATATTAAAAATAAAGTATTCCATACTTTTTTCTAAATATTTTGTATAAAATTCCAACATCAAAGACAAGAAAAAAATTTAAGTTAGACACTGTATATAATTAATAAAGAATTTTATAAATATATTTTGACATAAAATTTTTGTGCAGATGATACTGCATAAATTCCTGTAGCTAAAAATTTTCTCATAGTTTAAAAATATCTCTAAAATTACACATTTTGAAATCTCATATGAATCATATAGAATTAATACATTTATAAAACATTCAGAAATTTCTTATGAATAAAATAGAATTAATACATCATAAAACATTTAGAAAGACATGATAGATATAAGATGAAATAGAAAAGAAAAAGAAATTCAGATCATAGGTAGATAATATTATGAAAATCAGAAATTAGACATATTTTTAGAAATTAATTTCATTCTTCAGGTTTATCAGTAGCATAAAAGGCAAGTTTTCATAGCCTAACAATTGGTTCTATCTATTTTGTAAAACTATGGAATCATTATTATTTGTGAGGTACCAATTTTTCTTGGCTATCATGGGTAAAGGTATACCACTAATTTAAATGTTTAACAAATAATAAAGTGCTTATATTCTTTTATATCAATGTTTATAGAGTTTTGCAAAATCACAAAATCAAATATCCACAAAATATATTTTTCCTAAATCCACAAAAATTGCTACCCACAAAAATAACGAATCCACAGTATTAGTTATATTTTAAAGCATTGCATACATATTTACAGTTTTCTTTTTAAAGGAAAATCTGTAAGAAATTAATACTTCTACAGTACTAACTTTTGATGTCATATTAATAGCTGGTGTCAAGATACCTAATGATAGATTATTTCATTGGTGGTTGCTTAATCTCGAGCAATATATATTACATGCATGTTTGGAAATATAAAAATGATGAAAAATAATAAACTGCATATTTCTTCTTAATATATACAAATAATATATGGATATAAAAGTATAAAATTTGGTGGTAAATAATCTTTCAAATTTCAGAAAAACAAACAAATCTGCTGCGTATTTAAATTTGAACACATCAACTGGAATTGAGACATATATTGTGTAGATGTCTGTTTGTAAGGTTATAATACTGGCTCCCCCAAATGGTGGCAGTGAGTTGGACTATATTTGAAGGATTCTTGTGCATTTATATGACTTATGCATGTAGCATATTATTTCTTTTAAATAATTTTCACTATATGTATTATGAGAACTCCCTCTTGAAAAGTTTCTGCTACTTTCAAATTTTGGTGAATTTTACACTTTTCTTTTGTGATTTAACCTACTACTTAGTTAAAAATTTTAAATCAAAATTCTAAACTGGGATCATTATGTTAATAATAAAATTTTCGATAAATGATACAAAATTGAAACAGCACAATAATATTAGGAAAAGAGACATACAAAAACAATAAACATAATATAACAAACAAAACAGCAATATACATTGCTAGAATAAAACATAGCATTACAACAACATTAGGCAAAATAGCACTACTAAATTATAACATACATGTATGAGCTGCTATATATTGACACAAAAATATTAATGACTTAAATGCAATTTCAATAAGCCTTATCAATGTTAAATTACATTTGAAATTCTTGTATACAAATTATTTACAACAAATCATAAACATTTTCAATACTTCCATAAAACTTAATCCAGCTGCTTTACAACAGAACAGATGATCCTAGGTCTAACATGGTTGCACAGCAAGTCTGTTCTGCACATTCCAAAATTTATTTTTGAGTTATCTCCCATTAAAATAAGTATTTTTGTGAATATTCAAATGTTATTGATGTATTGACTGGAATGGGCAAAGCTTAAGGATTACTGTAATGACAATAATAACTCTTCAATAAAAACTGTAATCGTAAGCTCTGTCCAGTCAGGAAGACCAACACATTATATCCTATCATGCAATCATGAACTGGCCTACAGAACAAATTGAATTCTTTTTTAGGCCAAAAATAAAATTTGAATTGTTTGATGTTGCCTACCTACCCACCTAAAAAGCAGCCTACCAAAAACATTTTATGATACAAATCATTTCAAATTTTGTTTAAAGATTTTTTTCTGCTCTTGACGTTGTTTTCTTGTCTAAAAAATGTAACTTATGTTGTTGGCCACATAAAAAAATCCCTACCTACCTACCCAACCTTTCAAGGCATGTGTAGGCAACATTAAATAAAGAATGTTTAAGGATGGCCTTAACTGAATTTTGAATATATAACTATACTAATTATACCACAAAACTATTTTGGTTTCAGCCTTATGTCAAAAATATCAGTAATTACAGTGGTATGTACAGTAGGAACAGTGGTATGTACATGTAACTGCTAATATACAAAGCGAACACATATTTGTATGAATGTTTGAAAACATAGATGCCCTATATGATATTTAAGAGTGTGAACTTTATGTACTTAAATGCAATATTGCTTTTCCATTTCAACATGTTCAATGAATGAAACAAAACAACAACTTTATAATTGTTGTTTAGATTTTGCATAATGTAGCTCTTGTTTAAACATAATGATCCTACAGCTATGAATGGTTAGTTTTTGGACAAAATGTTTATCAACTATATGGTTCCCACATTTAAATGATATACATATGTAGTCAAAATCTACAAGTAACAATATAGCATGTACACTGAAATGCAGGACTCTTCGTTTGTCAAAACGCAAATGAGGTCAATATATTTAAAGTCTACTGTGCCCTTAAAATTTCTCTAACAAGTGAACGAAATAAACAAAACTGGTATAAATTATAGAACACAAGTTTCCTGAGAGTCTATATGACACTAGTCTGTAATCCAAATCCTATATTCTTATGGTTATTTCATTCACAATATATATAAATACACTGTACAAAGTAAACATTTACACTGTAAATAATAATTTAGCTGCACCAAGAGTTTGCTGAATCTAACAACTTCTACTGATTCTGTGATTTGGCTTGTATTTTCATCATCAGCTTACTAAAAATAGAAATCATTCATGAATGACCTTTTGCAACAAGCAAAAACTGATATCAACTATATCTCCCTTATTCACTGATGTTTGAATATTTATTTAACTTCTAGAAGTTAACTTGACATCTGTGATGTGTTTTTGTTGTTATTAAATGTCTGTTAAGACTATGATAAAGTATAGTATTACATGGTTAAGAAAGACTAAGACATGATATTGGTTTAAGCAATATAGATGAATACACTTTTATTGTCCTTGTAAGTCCATTTGATTTTGTCAACCTGTGAAAGGATGCCTTGAGTTTTGTTGAGTTTGAAAATCTTGTCGGTTGGTAACTGTACTTTTGTTTTATCAGTTTTTAAAGAATAAACTATCTATCTTATAATCTACCTAACTTGTGATGTTTGAAAATTCTTCAATTTCTTAAAATGGATTGAATCCATTAAAAGTCAGCTTATACAAGTAATTTCTTATATCCTTGAAGATGTACATGTATAGTATATTTGTCAGATTTCTTTTCAATGTTTTGAATAATCTCCCCTTACCCTTCTCCAAAGATTTACTACACAAAGATGTTAAGTAATTGTGCAATGTTTTATTGGCATTTAAAAATTCTTCATAAGGCAGTATGTTGAAGATGACAGACAAATGAGATTTAAGTTTTCTATGGAATTGTACTTTTATGAATAGTAATCATTATAATAGTAGAACTGTAGAAGGGAGACAATTTTTAGTGCAGAAAATGTACTAAAACCTATAATGTCAAATCTTGTGAAATATTTCAATATTATACACCTTTTCTTTACAAGGGGTAGTATAATGTTTCAATTGGCAAATAGCATTCTTCATTGATAACCCACCTTAAAAAAAAGAAAAAGGGGAATTTTTTGTTCCTCTTAAAAAAAAAAATTCTGTTTGAACTTGCATTTTTTGGAACATGTTAATATTAGCATTTATTTGAATATGTCTTTAATAACATTAAAATACGAGCATAGATTGTTATTTATGGGGTAATTATTTTTTCCTTAGATATGAAATAATGTATCCATTGTACATGTATAATTAAATTGTTATTTGAAAGATGTATGAAAATCTATTTGAATAAAAGTTAAAAGAAAAAAGTTTGGCATGAGTCTATCTTATGTGTCAATAATTTATGAAGTTGTAAATTAAGTACATAAATATATTCAAAACAACAAAAAGGGTAAATAGATAATATCTCATATACTTACTGTGCTTCATACTTACTCTTTTAAAAAACAGGGGGAGGTAATCAAATCAAAATAACAAATTAGTTATCAGTATATGTATCAGTAAATAACAAGTATTACCCATAACCATGACTATAAAAATACTGACATTAATGTTTAATTATGACTCTTCCTTGTAAGCAGATATTTAACAGTGTCTACACTGTATATTTTAACATTGTATATATAAATAATGTTGTATATAAATGCATATGGAGGCATAGCATGTACTTACTTGCACAACATTTTAACATCCTTTAACTGATCATACAGATCCTGGTTAATTCTGTCTTGTTCTGCCAATTGTCTTCTTAAATCTTCATCATCCTTCTTATTCTTCCTTAATCTTTCATTCTGTTCCTCAATTATTGCCTTCTGTTCCTCTATCAACTGACTTTGTTCTGCTATAATCTGTTCTTTGGTCTGCCCAACACGAACTTCCATATCTATCTTACTATTCAGATTGTCTATTACTTTACTGTTTTGTTCACACATTTCATTTATGGTTTTACATTTGTCATGATTTTGCTCAATGAGATCATTAATTGTAGCACTCTGTTCTTTATTTTCTACATTCAGTTCTTCATTTTTCACATTTATTTCATTAATTGTAGCACTCTGTTCATTAATTGTAGCACTCTGTTCATTAATTGTAGAACTCTGTTCATTAATTGTAGCACACTGTTCTTCATTCTTCACATTTATTTCATTAATTGTAGCACTCTGTTCTTCATTCTTCACATTTATTTCATTAATTGTAGCACTCTGTTCATTAATTGTAGCACTCTGTTCATTAATTGTAGCACTCTGTTCATTAATTGTAGCACTCTGTTCATTAATTGTAGCACTCTGTTCATTAATTGTAGCACTCTGTTCTTCATTCTTCACATTTATTTCATTAATTATAGCACTCTGTTCTTCATTCTTCACATTTATTTCATTAATTGTAGCACTCTGTGCCTTCACTTCATCTTTCTTCTCTTTAATCATCAACTTCTGCCTCTTAATAACCGAACCATACTCCCCCTTAGTATACTCTAAATCCCTCATCTTACTGCACTGATCACATATCTGTCTATCTTTCTGTGTTATTGTCCTCCTTAACTGGTACACATGTCGACCCTGTACTTCAGTTATGTCCCTTATATGATTAATATCTTCTGACTTTTGCTCTACTTCATTTTCAAGTTGGTGTACATTGTCTCTTAAGATATCATTATCTTGTTCAAGATCATGAACACGCCTCAGCTGCCCATTGTAAATATGATTGACCAGTTCCAGTTGAGAATGTAATAATTGCTGCTCATCTCTTTCTTGGTAAATTTCATCATCTTTCTTCTCTAAAGCTCTCATCATTTCAGCTATAAAATAGAATCCAAAAATATGATTTCAAATTATAAGTAGATTTCTATGGTCTTAAAATGGGGGATAACTCTATTTTTACATGTAACACAAGTCCATTCATTAAAATGAAGAATTTTGGGAAACTACATGCAAATGCGATATAACTATTTAATCTGATTATTCTGTTTTCATCCATCATACACTGTATTTTAAAAGATTCTGGCCTTTGTGTGAAATTTAATAAAAAAGAAATCATCCATTGGTTTGATATAAACAGAACCTGAAAGCATTAACTGAACCGACCCACAAACTAGAAGTATTGACATCTACACATTAGAATTTCACAAATATTCTGACAACAGCCTCAAAGAATAACTAGTCCAAAGACACTTTGTTTGACTTAGAAGGTATTATGAGATATATTTGTTGTAAATTTTTCTAACAAACTGAAAAATGCTTTTCAGGTTTCAATATTATAACAGTTTGAAAGATTTATAAAACTCTGTCTATTACAATGAAATCAAAGAATTTCTAAAAATAAGAATCGATTACAGCATAGTAAATTGATTTGAACTTTCAACCAATTGTTTCATTTAACATGTTTAAAGATTATAAACAATGTTTCTATTTTTTTTAAACGAGAAGATATTTTATGACTATGAAATGTTTGATTTCACCGTACTATCAGAGTTTGGTTGAACAATCCAAACATTTACTATACCTAGTGACTGAGTCCTTCGTTTAGTTTTATTACCTCTCCAGTTGTTGATAAAGATTCTGTACTGTGAACAGCTTGGAAGTTCTCCTGAAAACAGAAAAAAAATTAAAAACTTTGAGCTTCAATTTGTTAAGAAATATCATCTTTGCTAGCCAAGGGTTATGATCAAGTCCCCTCATCTCCACCCTTGGCGGATTAAGGTAGAATTTCAGATCCACAAGGTAATGATTTCCATTGGATGCAGTTGTAACTGGCTGCATCCAATTAAAAAGCGCCTTTAAGATGATCACATGCAAATGTAGAAAATGTAAGTAAACAATTGCCACGTGTTGATTGTGCAAATAGGACAATATTTAGTGACAATTTTAAAGTTTAAATTGAACTAATTGAAGTTCCTGGGTACATTTCTAGAGCAAATATTGGAATGTCAATGTATAGTTTCGGATCCTGCTTCAGGAAATTTGTAAACACTAGACACAACCATTTAACACCTCCACACTGAAGAGAGTTCAAGTGCTGCCATTGGTCAAGAATGATGTAGACGGAATGGGCGTGACTTTTATCTACTGACAGATGGTGCAGCATTGTAATCACAAATGTTGGCTTAATGTGCCAAGGGTGGAGAGGAGTGGTTCTGAAACGTAACCCTTGGCTAGCGAAGATGAGAAATATAGACATTCTAATTTTTCATCTCTTCATTCTACTTTGCAACAATATTGCCAAACGGGTAAATAACCATTCTTTGTCTCTCTGAGTAACAAAGAACTGTAAGGAACTCACAGGAGGAAACACCCTCCGCATCCTACTAATACATTGTATAAATAAAAAAGTTTGAATATCTCCCTTTAAACATATTAGACCATGCTCATATTCATCAGATAGTACTTTTCCACTGTGTTGAGTATCATCAATATCAATCACCCTACTTACAATGCAAATAGACAGACAGACTGACAGATTGAAGTAATTAAATTCGATTATCTCCCCTGTAACATGTTGCACTAGGATTATATTCCTTTATGCACATACTCCGGTAGTGTTCTACAAATATATAGCTTTCATCAATATCTGTCTAGCTGTTTTGAAGGAATTGCCCTTACATGGCACATGGACAGACAGACGGATGGACAGGGGGATTCCTACATGTGGATATACATGAACTCCCCTCCTTCTCCAAAAAACAATATACAAAAGAACAAGAGTGCACACGCTGAAATGTCTCGCCTTCTTTACTAATCATTGATATTATGTTGATAGTCCTAAATATAAAGCTTTATTACAACTGTCACATAAACTTAACATTAACCAAGTAAACTAAACATTGACCAATGAACCATGAAAATGAGGTCAAGGTCAGATGAACCATGCTAGGCAGGCATGTACAGCTAACAATTCTTCCATACAACAAATAGAGTTGACCTATTGCTTATAGTTTAAGAAAAACAGACCAAAACACAAAAACTTAACACTGAGCAATGAACCTTGAAAATGAGGTCAAGGTCAAATAAAACCTGCGTGACTGCCAAATAGATCATAAAATATTTCCATACACCAAATATAGTTGAACTATTGCATATAGTATAAGAAAAACAGACCAAAACCCAAAAACTTAACTATAACCACTGAACCATGAAAATGAGGTCAAGGTCAGATGACACCTGCCAGTTGGACATGTACACCTTACAGTCCTTCCATACACCAAATATACTAGACCTATTGCTTATAGTATCTGAGATATGGACTTGACCACCAAAACTTAACCTTGTTCATTGATCCATGAAATGAGGTCGAGGTCAAGTGAAAACTGTCTGATGGGCATGAGGACCTTGCAAGGTACGCACATACCAAATATAGTTGAACTATTGCACATAGTATTAGAAAAAAAGACCAAAACTCAAAAACTTAACTTTGACCACTGAACCATGAAAATAAGGTCAAGGTCAGATGACACCTGCCCGCTAGACATGTACACCTTACAATCATTCCATACACCAAATATAGTAGACCTATGGCATACAGTATAAGAAAAACAGACCAAAACACAAAAACTTAACTATAACCACTGAACCATGAAAATGAGGTCAAGGTCAGATGACACCTGCCAGTTCGACATGTACACCTTACAGTCCTTCCATACACAGAATATACTAGACCTATTGCTTATAGTATCTGAGATATGGACTTGACCACCAAAACTTAACCTTGTTCACTGATCCATGAAATGAGGTCGAGGTCAAGTGAAAACTGTCTGACGGGCATGAGGACCTTGCAAGGTACGCACATACCAAATATAGTTATCTTATTACTTATAATAAGAGAGAATCTAACATTACAAAAAATCTGAACTTTTTTTTCAAGTAGTCACTGAACCATGAAAATGAGGTCAAGGACATTGGACATGTGACTGACGGAAACTTCGTAACATGAGGCATCCATATACAAAGTATGAAGCATCCAGACCTTCCACCTTCTAAAATATAAAGCTTTTAAGAAGTTAGCTAACGCCGCCGCCGCCACCGGATCGCTATCCCTATGTCGAGCTTTCTGCGACAAAAGTCGCAGGCTCGACAAAAACCTTGTTAGATGAGAAATGAGGTAAACAACAAACCAAAAAGACATATAAACTAACTATGAGCTTATTATAACTGGAACTCAAAACAGGTGACAGTTTCAATCTTGACAAATAGACATCATACAGGAAAATACAGAAGTAAGGCTTTTTTTGTACAAACTTGGAAAATGCAGTGATCTCATATTTGTAATACTATGATGGATTTTTTACAAACAATTGTTTATGAATGTCTTCTGTTATAAAGATTCCAAAATAAAAACAATGGGTGATCCAGTTTAAAGTCACTCTTGCTAGTGATTAAAATTGCTACACTCTCCAACTCAACATTTTCAAGCTGCAGACCAAATTTAAATCATTTCCTTACATAGAACTAAGAAAACTTTGCAAAGTTTTCTACCGTTCCTACTCGCTTATTAGTCGGAAAATTGGGAGTAAAATTCATAATCCAGAGAGGGGGGCCGACTAATAGACGAGATCTAGCGACCAGAGGAAAAATCCAAGCTTGAGAAAAGTGGTCAGGAGTGAATTTCCTGGTCAAAACTACGTTTTTGATTGCCAAACCTACATAAATCAATAAATAAAAAGTTTCTGTTGAAAATAAATGACTTCAATACTGTCTTTGTGTTTTATTTGTTCTTTGGTAAACATTTTCTGCAAATTCGTGTTGAAATTCTACTGTTTCCGGTTTGTGTATTGATTTTATGGTCACATGGTTTTCCTATAAACCCAAAAGAAGAGCCAAGAACCAAAAATGAAAAGGAGATAACAATGTACCAAATATGTGAAAGGATGTTTTCAGCGGAGTTATTGTGTCATTATTGTGATATCATGATATCAATTCAATGCTTATAAATCATATAATAATCAAAAAATAATTTTAAGATTCATTCCCAAAATCAAAATATTATTCATTATAGTGTCTCAGGTAAACAAAAATTACAAAATTGATTGACAAGCCAATATAATCCATTGATAACCCCAATTAAGAGACAAAGAGTTGTATTCACTAAAGGTGAGAAAACTATCAGTGATAGGTAAACAGATGACACTAATGAGTTGGAGTTAGTTATTTTAATATATTGATTAGCTTCACTTAATTTTTTTAATCCTTTAATCATCACAATATAATAAGAATTATGAAGTGTACATGCTCATTTAACACCGAGTTATGTATGCTGTGAAAAATATTTTCATCAAGTGTTAATTGACTTTAAATTTTTCAGGTTCATATTGGTTTATATTCGCTTTTCTCAAACAATAGGTTGTTAGTCATACCCTACAAAATCATTGATGCATTACGTAAACAACACATGGCTAATCTAACATTTGAACAGTGAACAAAACAAGAGAAATGAATACATCTTTATTATTAACAGCAATATAAATTATCATGATGAGCATCAACTAAATTCAAACCAAACAAACATTAATGCAGAAATGAATATTATTCCTGGATTTGCATTGGTTTTACCGGCGTTCAGTTACTGTCAGCTGAAAAAAAAATGCCCAAATTTTGTCCGACTTATACGAGGGTCAAGACTAAATCCTTAGAATTTGGAGCTGAAAAGGGACCCCGACTTATAGTAGGATCGACTATTAGGCGAGTATCTACGGTACCCAAGGTCGTTTGGACAGTTTGACAGTACCGACTGATAGATGAAGTCAAGCGGTTTCAAGTTATGCTTTTACTGAAAGCAATGCAGGTAAAAATATGACAGGGAAATCAATTTGCATCACCTGGTTTTCATTTGGGTCCAATGATACCCTATCCAAAGTGATTTTAACTGAATCAACTTGCATGTACTGTCCAAAATAATTATGGTTTAATAATTAAATGTAAGTAAACCTCCGTCACTAAAATGGTCAAAATATACAAAGCAAAAGCTTGGAAATTGGCTCCGACTCCAAAGAAACCATGCAGTTTATTACATGATTAAAGTTTCATTATATTTACCTTTCTGTACAAAATACTGGTCCCAAGCTAACTGTAAATCTTCTACACTAAATCTTGTTAATAAAAACTCTTTATTTTCATCTTGCTGTTCCTGTGTGAGAGATCTCCAATCTGAAAAAAAAGGTAGATTCAATGTGGAGAAAATTCTTAATTAACATTCAACCAATTTTTAATTGGGGGCCTTTAAAATCACATGTTTTGTTTTTTCTCATCATATGACTACCAGTACCTGTAAAACAAGTTCTTTGAGTGCCCAGTAACTTTTTTTATTATTTTGTGCCATGTTTTTAAAGATATTTTTATTAAAATGTATGTACATATGAGCATGTGTGATAAACATGTCAAAATATATTTTAAAAATATTAAAAAGGCACTTTTAATTGGTATGCATGAACATCTATTGTAATTGTTTACAGTATGTAAATTTTTGCACTGATGTTTTAAAGAAGGACGTCACAGGAAACAATTTAGATTCAATTTTCCAATTTTGATACACAAATGTGTTACCTCATAATTACTGCACAGAACCAGGCAGGTATGTCCTGTTAATACGAATTTAACTGAGAGGTATATTTTGGAACTATAGAAACCCCTTTATCTTATTTTTCATATATATAAACAAACAAAAGCTTTGACTCTGAACAGTAAAATTGAGAATGGAAATGGGGAATATGTCAAAGAGACAACAACTCGACCAAAGAGCAGACAACAAATTAATAAACCATACTATATCTATATTCTATGGTTTCTGATATTGTACAAATTTTTCATTTTATTAGATCATGCAATACATAAAACTTTTCATCATTGTTTGCCTTCAATCTCTTGTGTTTTTGTTGTCATTATGTGGAAATTGGTGTTGATGGCAGAAGTACATGTACACTACAGCTCAGGTGGATTTTGCTTTGTCCACCCGCCCACAGTGGGAGTGGGCACCGGGTGGGCAAAACTTCAAGCTTGTCCACTCTACCCACCCATAGGAGTGGGCATGCAATTTCTTTTGTGAATCGAAAGACTTGCAAGTACAATCAATTGAAAAAAGCAGATAAGCATTTGAAATCAATATTTTTACACAAAAAAAAAAGAAAATATAGCTAGAGTGGGCACAGGTGGGCTGTCCACCGTGGGCAAGTGGAATAAGCAAAATCCACAAGGACTGTTGTGCATTTAGTTGCTTATATTTAATAACTTTTATAAACACTGGCTGATTTAAACATACTGAAAAATAATTGTGATGTTTTTATTAATGCGAATGATGCAACTGGCTGAGTATTACAATAATAAAAATTTGCATTCTGATATCTGATACATACATGTATATCTGTATGCAGTTTTTCTTGAAATTGTAATAATTAATCTCACATTTTTGTCCATTCTTCAAAAATCGCAATAATAAATGCACACCATTATTTCTGAATATTCAGTATATTTAATTTTATTAAATTAACACTGTTTATTTTTGAAGACTGTATTTTGACCTCTAGGTGTTTTTTTTTTTTAATTTAAAAGTTATGTTGTGCTGCTGTCTCATTGACATATATCCCACGTCTGTTTTTTCCCTTCCTGGTTGTAATGTTATACCTATGATATTACCTGATAGTCTTTCCCAAATATCACTATCTACAGGAACTGTTCCACCTGTGTTCTGTTGGTGAACTACACCGTCCAAGTTTGGATGAGGAAAGGTTTCAATCATATGCTTCACTTCTTCTATATGACTTGCATCCTTAGGGGGTCTTCCTATTTTAAATGAAATAAAATTTTATAAATTTACCAAATATTTAAGGAAATCACAGGTTTAAATCAACCATTGTAGTATTGATTCATTGAAAAATCCTATTGAATAGACATTGAACATGAACATTTTCATATGGCAAATATACATTAATATGGTCATATTTATAAATGAACTGTTTACAAAATGGTGAATTGTTCAAAATAATAAGGATTTTCTCTCCTAGGGATGGATTACTTTAGCTGTATTTGGCAAAAACGCAAACGGTTTGAAATTTTGGTTCCTCAATGCTTTTCAATTCATTATTTATTTGGCCTATTTACTTTTTAGATTCGAGCGTCTCTTATGAGTTTTTAGTAGACAAAATGCACATCTGGCATACAAAATTATAAGCCTGGTATCTTTGATGAGTCTTTTATACATTACACAGAATGTTTTATAAATTTGTAAACCACATATGGTGATTCTGTTAAAAATTATCACTCTTTCTTGTGGAATTTCAAAGTGGATGCTGGTTATTATATATCAATAATAATTTTTTATTCAAAGAATAGGCAATTCACTATAAAACACTGTGTAGGGTTAAAAAATGTCACTTTAGTGAACAACCTTTTTATGTATGCAGAATGAATGAAACATATGAAACTCCATGACTTATACGTTTTATTGGAAGAATAAAAAAATCATAACTACCTGTGAATGTCATAATTGTCTCCCTTGTCTGTAATATTTTTCTTGTGTTTAAGTCTTCTGTCACTTGTGCAACTGCAAAAACAAGAATCAAATGCATAATTTTTTTTTAAGTAAACCAGAAAAAATTCAAATGTGTGACACATGGCTAAAAAGTAAAGGCTTTTTTGCAATTTCTGAGTTTCTGACATGTTTAATATACATGTAGAACATGTATTCCCTTCGGTTGAACATTTAGTAGCAGACCTTAACAATAACATGCCAGCTGCTTGTCTTATACATGTAGTACCAATCAGAAATCAGTTCAATGTTATACAAACAACTTCTGTTTTATCCTTCTTACAATAAGTGCTACAGAATATTGATTGGACATGTTGGAACCATTATCATGATTATAAACAGAATATTGTTAATAAATCTAAACATTTTAGTGTTATCCCCTTTCAATCCTCAAAAAAGTCATGGATTTTCTCATGTACTTTTAATCAAGTAAAAGATGGCCCTGTTTGAGTGTTATTTTTTGTAAGTTATTGGTAAAACAAAAAATACATTGGTTTATAAGATTTCTCCTTTAGCATGTTTAGAAAATAGGGAAGGTTTCAAGGAAGGTAGTAATTCATTTTTTTTTTTTTATTTTTTACCTTGAGTATGCAATTTAATCAATAATGAAAGACAGTTAAATTTCAAAGCCCATTTGACCATAAAAGTAAGGAAAAGAGGGTGTTTGATTCTTAACAAGTCATTTCTACCCTAATAGGAAAGGGTCTTTTTAAAACAATTGCAGATTCAATTTGTCAGAACTTCAGGAAAAAAAAAATATCAAAGTTTTGTGATTTTTATTCATGCTATCACTACAAAAATCCCATACATATAAATATATGCATATGGAGCGTTTACCTTTAAATTGTGTGTGTTATCAATGGTTATATTTTAAACATAAAACAGAAATATTAACATATTGACATAATGTATTTGTGTTCATAAACTAAAAGTACTAAAAAAAGCCAATAGCAGCTGATTGTGAAATGCTGTTCACAAATAATTCTATCTATATATACTGTGGATTCATTTATTTTCGTGGGTACCAATTTTCGTGGATTAAGGAAAACTTACATGTTCGTGGATATTTAATTTCGTGGTTTAGCCAAAGTCTTCATACAAGCCTAATGAAAATATGTTGTTCGTTGAACATTTAAATTCGTGATTCACCTGTACTCATGAAATCAACGAAAATTGGTATCCAACGAATAATAATGAATCAACAGTATGTAAATAGCCCAATACAATATTTTGTTTGTTTTTGTTTGTAGTAAACATTTGATTTTGAATCATTTTGTGATCATGTTTCATCCTCATAGACTTATTTCAATATGAAGTAAAGCAACAGAAGATACCCAAACAATTGGAGATTTTTTGTTCCACAGGTTATTTGATAACATTTGTCATTTATCAAAAGAGGAACTGATATCAGTTATCATCACTGATTTTAATATACAGGATAAAACGTAAATTTGTTTAATTGTGATGCAAAATTTTGGGAACTTGTGTGATTTTAAGAAATGGCAGAATATTTCCCATAATAGTGTAAATATGTCTATTGTACATGTACACTGAAGTCAATGTAGATCTCTGTTCACCTGGTTTTCAACGCTGCTGGATAACTCGGACTAAAACAAAATCAGCCTATCACAAAATCGGACTATAACAAACTCAGACTATAACAAACTCTGCCTACCACTATTTATATGCAGAAATAAATTGAACAAACTCGGACTACGATTAGTAGATTGAGTTGTTAACGTTTTTTTCTGACTTTTAGAAAAAAAACTTTATATATAAAAAATTATATACAAATTTATGAGAAAATGATAAATATTTTTGAAAAAACAATATATAGAAATGTATTAAAATAAATTTAGATCCATCATTGAAATATGTGTTATATGAGTTGAATTTGATATTTTTGAATGAGAATAATTAACTTCTATTTGAAATATTATTGTGATTTTCTCGTTTATGTTTATTGACAAAAGATGTTTTAATGATTGGCGTGTGTCCATGTTTGTATTGTGTTTAATCCTTGGTGTCCATTATTAGTATACAAACAAAGAGAAATTTGATTGACAGTGAATAGCTTCTTTACAATTTCACTTATCTGTAATTCTTTATTAATGGAAAAGTAACTATATTTAAATTGTCACATCAAACAGATACAATGTTTTTAGAAAGGCAAGCCGACGCAAACATTTATTATACATATTTTTCAAAATAGATGTGGAGTAAAATTGAAAAAACAACAGAGATTTCTTTTTCTCACAAACCACTGGGATTCAAATGCAACCAATAAAAGTATGATCAGAAAATATCATTCACTACAGTGTCTTATAATTACATAAGAATTGTAATCAAACTAAAAAAAAAAGAACATGAAAACGTCAGTTATACCATACATGTAGATATCTATGGTTATACACAAGCTGCTACTGCGAAGAAATTTTAATATTTAGTTAATTACAATTTCATGTAATTACAGGTAGTTTTGTTCTCACTTTGGGTGATTAAATAGGTGTCAACAGTACATGTGCAAGTTGTTAGTTTAAATTCAGGTGATTAAAAAGTTGTCAACGATACACGTGGCATGATGTCATATTCCCGTTCAATCATATAAGATACATGTATGCATATGATAAATTATTTTGAGAGGGACATACAAATAATAATACAGAAAAGACAGATAAGTGGTAGATTTTCATAATTAAATGAATTTATTCTTTTCTTTTTCTACATATCTTGTTAACATAATTTATATTACTCGCTTCTAAAATGTTTAAAATGATTATTTAATTAATTGTAAATCATAATTAATTAATTACAAATTAAGTATTGATAATTAATTTCCAAAAAAGAAAACAACATCCAACATCATACCTATCATGACTATATTCTTCTAGTAGTCAGAGTTTGTTATAGTCCGATTTTGTGAGGCCTATTATGTTATAGGCCGAGTTTGTTATAGTCCAATTTTGTTATAGGCCGAGATCATGGAGATATCTGGGATTAGTTTTCAACAGCTTAAATCATGTTTAACAAACAAAACATATAACCTAGCAAGTGATATCTTGCAAACAGAAAGTCTGTTTGAGAATACATGTATAATACTGTTGTGTGTCTAATGTAGCTTTTTTTCTACAAGAAAATATTTCTCTGTTCTGTGTTCATGATGTTTGTCCACTTTGTTTCAACATTCTACAACCAAGTTTCGATTGAGTATTTTGGATAGCTGTGGCGTATTTTGTAAAGCCTAATCTCAGATTTGATTAAGTTTACATAACAAATGCATACGGCAAATATATTATATTTATATATATATAGTGAAATATACATTTTGTAAACAATGTGGAAAAACTTCGGGAAATTTTTGGACGATGTTTTTGACTGAATATCATTAACTGGCAATACTGAATATGTTTGCATCATTTCATCCATGTCTTAAACAAAGAAGACAAGTTGTTTTAAGACTGTAAATACTATATCTGCAGAGATATTAAAGAAAAATGATTTTTTACCAAAAGGGGTATCCATTTTGATAAACAAATCAATCGGAAGTTCGCTTGGAATCAACAAATAACCGAATTCCAACAACTGACAAACATTTCTACAACGGACGAAAATGAAAATTCCTTTCTCAACAAAACCAATACATTCAGTGGCTGATCCAAGGGAGTTGGAACCCTTTTTTGAAGATCAATGCTTTTGAATGGGGACATATGGTTGGACCCCCCTTTATCCTGGGTTGGATGAAATTTGAAAAAATAGGCAGGACAGGAGTTTTGATAAAAAAAAAAGGCAGGATGAGATTATTTGCCAAAAAAAAAGGCAGGATGACAATTTATGTAAAAAAAAAGTCAGGATAAACTAAAAATAAAGGCAGGACTGAATAGAGTGAAAAATAAAAAGGCAGGACCGAATAGAGGGGAAAATAAAAAGGCAAGACAAAATTTTTCATCCTAGCCGCCCCCCCCCCATAAAAATCAAATGGTAGCTCCCTTAGAATAAAGTTCTTTAAATTTGATACCAACATTAAAGTTTTTTTTTGTGAAATAATACAATTATTATTTGGTCGTAAATAGAAAGCAGTAGTCAATTATGAAAGAAAAAAATGAAATGCAAAACAGAAAACAAATATACCATTGATTTTTTTCTTGTAATTTTGATATAATATTCTTTATGAACCCGGCTTTGTACTAGACCGAAATGCACAGCCGGATTCTGAACGCGTAAGTTCACAAGGTAACATTTGACAAGAAGACTTGTCATCCTGCATGAAGGATTTTTCCGACTTCGACCCGATCAGTTTTTGCTCCTACACCTAAGTGTCGTGTTCTTAGCGGGGAAGCAACATTAACCACTTTTCAAGGCTTTGGTTTGACCCGGTCTGGGATTGATATCACGATATCCCGCAATCGAGGCAAACACACTTTTGCGAGACTACCGCGGCGGTTAGTATTTTCAACGGCCACCTGAATTTCTATCAATAAAATTAATGACTAAAAATAGTTTGAAAAAAAAACGTTTAATATAGTATAGACAAAAAACGTCTTTTATATAGTAAAGGTCCATATACTATTCTATATGCATTAATTAATTACTTTTTTTTTATCATTAATGATAGAAATTCAGGTGCCATTGATATTTCATTTGATTATGCCTCATGAGAACGTACCCGATATCCATCTGTCTTTTTAGTTAATCTCGATTCATAAGTGTAAACTTTATACTTTGTATGTGTATTATTTCCTTTCTTCTTCTTTTTCAATTCTATGTTGAATCAATGATTCATGAATACACGGCTCTCAAACTAAGTTGCACATACTTCAATCAAATGCATCACATTATCACTAACGAAGAAGCCGGGGGAGAGGGAATTGACCTTCCCACTTTCTGGCTACCAAAAAAAAAAAAAAAAATGAAAGATGACACTGTCTAACCCCTAGAATATTATCATATAGAAAATTTTTTTGCTTAACTTGTCACTTTCAGAAGTTTGCCCCAGTTGAGTCCACTGCTACATCACTGATTTTCATATCTCGAGTGAGAGGACACTTGCACAATGAAAATCAAAAAAGACAATTAGAGTGTTTTTTTTTTAATTACTAGTCAGAAACTGAATTACCACTACCATACGTCTCTATAAAAATAAGAAGATGTGGTATGATTGCCAATGAGACAACTCTCCACTAGATAATGAAGTAAAAGAAATAGAAAATCAATATAATGGAATATGTATATAGACAGCTCTCTCACAAGCAAACAACCCTAACTTTAAGATAAAAGGGCATACAGTATATATATTAACGACCAGTAAATGCAACTACTCGGGCTACCATCTCTCGCCCCATATAAAGTTTACTGACCGTGTATACTGAGTATATACCATATTAGGTCACTGACGGCCTGTAAAAATACATTATCTACACGTGCATATATTCAGATAATAACAGTCAAAGGGACATAACTCCAACTATTAATTTAATATTGTGAAGCAAGCAAGAAAAAAAGAAAAAAAATCCAAAACACAAAAATAGATATAAAAATGTAACTGTAAATGTGTTCTTTAGAGTTTGAAAAATAGGCGTTAGTGCATGGTTGTCGTTTGTGTGGTATGGTTCATAATTGTTTCTCGTTTCTCGTTTTTTATATAGATTAGACCGTTGGTTTTCCTAGCTGTTTGAATTGTTTTACACTAGTCATTTTTGGGCCCTTTATAGCTTGCTGTTCGGTGTGAGCCAAGGCAAACTTTGTTTTGATTATATTGATTTCATAGTTACCCAAATCGAAACGAAATATTCATTTTGAACGATTTCCCGTGGTATTCAGCGAAAATCTACTTCGCTCACAATTTTCTACTTTCAAATATTTCAAAACTGAGATCATGTATGGAGGAGTTAAAAAAAAGGGACCGCAACTTGTTTTTTTATGTAAATGACTCGACCGAAGACATTTTTTTTATATTGGCCACTGATCGTCAACACATATGATCTATTTGTGGAATCATTTGGACAAGTTTGTTGATTCTTTATATCGTACGACGACAACCTTTTGTGTCAAGCATAGTTCCAATAAGAAGTAACTTGTGCGTTGCTTTTGTCCGCAAACAATATGCATACTGTATACAAATGATCTTTACGAATTTATAAGTTATAGACACGTACTGAATAAGGCAATCTAATTAAAATATAGAACTCGGATTTCGTTATATTAGTATGTAGTATAACGAAATCCGAGTTCTATATTTTAATTAGATTGTGAATAAGGCGCCTTTTCGAAAAATCAGATCAAAGTGCCTTCAATTCTGAATGCATATTGTAAGAAAATATTAAGTCACAAGTTGTCGTTTGAACTTGGTTGAAATGTATATTTGTAATATAGGCAAGTAATGGTTTGAGTTAGGAGACAAGTAGGAAAATACCCACTCTCGGATTGCCGTTTTTCTATATCTAACCCATGCTGACGGAGATGCATAAACAAACAAGATTAACTACAATTATATGTATAAAAAGGCTCACAAGTACACGGTTTCAAAATTAATAAAAAATGCGAATTATTAAGAAGAAGAATATTTTAATCCATTTAATATATGCACGATTAGAGCAATAAAGGCAGCTAGTATGGCGAGTTCAACAGTTCAAGGGGAAGTTTGAGAGAGTGAAAAGTGAGAGATGTCGACTTCTCCTTTGTCTAAGATCAAACCATACAAAGGGCAAATTAATTCCATATATTCTTCTTTTCTCTATATAATATGATATGATTTTTATATGCTTTAGGATAAATTTCAAATTTACTTTTATATTTAAGATTCGAAGATTTGGCTCTAGAAATTGCATTGTTGAAATACACTTTCAAACATTAAGCACCGCAAGAAATGTATGTAGATTGATTTATCTTTTGGAGAGAAAAAACGTTACCCTTAATTTAATTGGAAAGTTATGGAATCAGTACTTTTGTGTCCAGTTTTGAGCTCCTTTTTTTTACAAACAATGTTGAATAAGCAGATTTATTTAATTTATATGACTGACTTTATACATAAGAAAAATAATCGTAAAGAAAACATAGGACAAAACGATATAAAATGACTAAAATTATGTAGAAATGCAACACCTCTGCAATTTTTTCAGTAGACAGTAAATTGAAAATGTATAAGATCCAATTTACATTACAAAAAGAAATTGATATTATGCAACTTGGTTGTCATGCGAGTTCGGAAAAACAAACAGCGTGTACAGTACGTTTTAATTTATTGTAGATCAATTTTTCTTTTTGAATTTCTTTTGTTAGCGTATTGAAAAGAATTTTCTGCTCCGATTCACTTAAAATCAGTACATATATAGACTTCCTGGTTGAAGTAGTTCCACATTTATCTGGATCCATAATTCAACCAGACAAGATGTCCAAACTACCAATAATTTGCATTTTGTTGGTGATTATAGCCGTTAGTGTTAATGTTGAAGGCCATACAAGGTATATTTTTTTCTAATATAATTTCATTTGAACAAAGCAATTTAAAGAGGTATACTCACTTTCTGTAACATTTGTTTCGCTTAGAGAATATTTTTGAAAATTGATATCTGGAATTTGAATACATTATACTTTTAGAAAGTCCATCTATAACGTTTGGAACAATATCCATTTTCAAAACGTATATCAGTACTGCACATTTTTAGTAGCACTTTTGATCGAGTAATTGGAAATTTTACGTATTTTTTGTATAGTTTTGTGCTGATTATTATATGAAGGACATCCAATTGAAATAAAAAAATGAGTGAATTTGTATTTGAAAAAACAGTAGCAAAAGCAATACATAATTTCCTTTACGATAGAATGTTGGTCTATCATTATTTTTTAATTTCTGTCCTTTAATTAAGGAATATGATGTTATTGATAGACCTTCGAATGAAAGGAGATGTGGAATAGCCATCATGTGCACTTCTTTTGTAGTTTTCATATAAACTATTCACATTTCATCTAGACTCAACGCGGTTTTAAGGTTTATATAATGTTTAAACTCTTGCGTATTGTTGAACTTGGTTTTATAGTTTTAGTCGGTTGCTGACTCACTGACGTTTACCCCATCATGCACCGCCCCCTCTACTCAGATTGAAAAAAATGTCGGCAGGTTTTCAGGGGAAGGGTTAAAATAATTAGTTATGACACATTTCTCTAACCGCAGAATGAAGTCACCAGGAAAACAAAGAAAAACGTAGGGGCACCAAAGTCTGGTCAGAACATTTCACATCATAATAAGCCGTTTACTTCACAAGTTGGATATTTGAAGAAGAAAAAAAGAAACTAGATGTTAAGGTTTTTAAAACATGACGAAACGACTAGCAAATAAAGTGATCATGAGAGGATTTATGATTAACCCGTTTCTTGAATTTATTCCATCCAAATTGAACAGTGTTTTCTTGTAGCTTTGTAAGTTTGAACCGTTAATAATTTGTTGGTCAACATTTTATTGTATATGAGTTAATGCAGAATTAAATGATATACCAAACTGAAACATCCACTATGTACGATTTATATATAAAGCTGGATAATCGAGTGTTTAAGCTTGTGTGCCAAGTATTTTATTTTATTACACAAACAGTTCAAGCATAGCCAACTTGAAGTCAAAGTGTTGAAATTGAATAAGTGCACATTGGATTGATTAACAGTCTACTTTTGGGACAAGTAAACAAATCCTTTCAAAGTTCAAAGATTTTATTGATTTGAAAATCCAAAAAAAAAATGAAATGCAATATTTACACATTTTCTAATATTTACAGTCAAACGGAAATATCTCGATTTATTGCCACGTTTCAATTTGGGTTTACATTTTAACTTTATGGTCTTTTGGACTTCTATCTCGTATTCTATCCATTTACGTTTGTTTTTTAATTATTAAGATATAGAAAAGGGAATTTAGAGGTAAGATAGATATAAAATGATCAAAGATAATTTTTTTTGTTGCATAGGAAAAATTCAAAGATACAGTCGCTACTAGTCCTGAATTTTTTTTCCATTTTATTGAATCGATTTTTTTATTGTATTGTATTGATCGACGATCTGAACATAGTATTTCCATTTGATGTTTTTTGAGGTCTAAACGAAAAAACAAAAACAATCGTCACTTGAGGAACTTTGGAAATTCAATACTTGTAAAATTACAAGGAACTGTTAACAGAATATTGATCAATTCATTTTCTGAACACAAAGAGATTTACATAAAGTCGCTGTTTCACCACGTCTGAGTTTGAAAAAACCCATTTCACGAGTAAGTAAAAGAAACACAATGACCTCAAAGCATAAAGCATTTAATTATAATTGGAAATTTATCAAAATTTGAATTCCCGTAAAGTAATTTGACAAGTACAGTTCAGCATGTCAAGTTTAAAAAATATACTTAGATTAAATTGGAGATAGCGTATTGTAAGTTTGTTATTTGATAATTTTTTCAATTACTTGGTACACAATTATATTAAAAAAGGAGAGTACCACTGTAAAGTATTAATATCTTTATATCATAATGGGTCAAAGGAATATTGTAACGAATTATCTGTCATTGTTTAACTTTAATTTTGAATTTGGGTTATATTGAAAATAATAGGTACATGTATAAAAAAAAACGCAACCATTGTCTAATAGTAGCATATGCAATCAAAAATATAAAACTAATGAAGAATATTGATAATTTTTTCAAACTTCAACGAAACTAAACAAACTATACCCAATATTCTTTCATTTTTTATTATATAATATCAAATTTTCCCCTTTACTATGCAATTGGTATGTATATCCTTCATTTTGCGACACATTTGCTAGGGTTACGGGTTTTCACGTTTTAAAGCTTTAAATAATTCACTTGTCTCTCGTATCTTTGTCAATTTTTAGGGATCATAAATAGAGGGTGAGAGTTTCCGATCCTTACTTCTTATTTAGTTTGTTTATTTTTCAAAAACTTTTACAGAGGCGGAAGAAAGAACGGCAAAGGCAAACAGACTGGGTGAGTACTTTGAATGTGTCTTAGATTCTCTAAGATTTTCAAATGGTTCATAAGTATATAACTTCTACGACCATGAATTTTGTTAGAAGATTAGACGAAAATATTAATTCCATATAAAATATCAAAGACATTTGATCTCTGCCTTCGGATTGATTGATTAAGTTTTCCTTGCCCAGTGTCCAGTGGCAAATGTTTTCATGCATATTCGGGTTGAGAACAAATTAACAATTTATACAAAAATAGGTAAGTTCTGATTGCCACTGGAAGAGACAGGGGGCAGACATTTTGCCTTGAATTAGACCACCAACAGACTCCTCACTCCGAGAGAATTGTTGCTAGGTTTTTAGCGTGCAGAGAGTGTTACAAGCTCTTAAATGTCGTATCAACCGAGAAATGTATACACATCATTCGGGTGGGTGTTGCTGGAATGTTTTAACATGTAAATGAGAAGTTCAAATTACAATAAGGAAATATCGAGTCCTCTCTTTTACTGTTTAGAGTATAACCAATCAGTGTCAGCATCCATTTATATAATGCAGGTCAATGAACATTGTATCATTAAAAAATAACAATTTAAATTTCGTGCGTCCGAAACGTTTTTATGGATATAATAGAAAAAAAAGGATACGGGGAATCCATCAAGACACCGTGAAGATCAATACATGCACAGCAAAACAAAAACATAAAAGGCATTAGGGTCAGCGTTTTTATTAATGTTCTTCATCTCAAAGTCACAGTGGGGCCTTCAGCACGGAGCTAAACCTCTTATCTCACTGCAAGTTTAAGATGGCCCCTAGCACCGGTTTTAGCGGAATCAGCGGTTTGCCTTTGCCAGGAACGCTCAAACCCAAGCATTTGAAAGTCAAGGATGTATAAGACCTAAACGCATGAATAGTTATATCACCAAAAGGGACCTAATATATATCCAAAGTCAATTTACAAAGCAGACCAAGCTCAAATTTTAAGTTAGAAACATGTTCATTATTTAAAGTGACATCAGTACAAGATTATTGCAGAGCCTTAAGATTTTTAATGAAAACGTTTTATTTATGTAAGCAGCTCAAATCTTTATTTCGTTCATTCCTATGGTCCTCGCGGAGATACATATGCATAGTAATAGATGTGATGTTTTTACGTTGTGGAAATATAAACCTAATAATAACTAAAAGACTTTTTAAAATATTGTGGACAAAGTTATTAAATATTAATCAGCATTGATATTTTGTAATTTACCTGAAGTTAGATATATTGTCTTTATATTTTCCAGGACAGCCCTTAGTGAGAGTAGCGAGTGAGTTTCTTTATTCTCCTTATTTTCCTTTTTTGAATCGAAACTCTTAAATACATTTTGTTATATTGATTTATTTGAAAAGATGTACCTTCTACAACACATTTATATTTACTATGCCTTTTAGTCATAGCTGTCCGATATTTCTTTATTTTTTCCGTGCAATTATCATGATTATACATTGTATATTTTTTACTCATACTGCCAAGTTTGGCAAGTATCGCCATCAACACATTATTCGTTCGTCGTTAACTTAAAAAAAATTTAAGAAAAGTTAATCTGAATATTTCTTCATGTATGTTTTTATATTCACGCCAAGCAACCGACATTGTCACATGGCTACAAGAGCATAATGCTGAAATGAAATTACGTGTCTAGCAGCTTAAGTTTGCTGATCATCTTGAAAATAATTTGATATTCTGGAACTGTAGCAATACAAGTTCTTCAAAGTTACCAATATCACTGAAACCAAAAAACTCGGATGACCTCAGGTGCTCCGGAAGGACCAGCAGTTCCTGCACCACTATAGTTATCTCCGCCGTGTTACTACAGTTATAATATGCTGATTAGTAGTCATATCAAGTGATTACACATCAAACAATAATAGATTGGTGGATGTCTTTTCTTTAACTTTAATACATCCCCAAATGCATACGACTATTTTGTGAATTGGGACTGCTATTTTTAATTCTCAACATCCCATTTAAAGCTCACCTAGCCCAAAGGCCTAAGTGATCTTTTCTCCTCACTTGGCGTCCGTAGTTCATCGTCAATCTTCTCCTCTGAAACAACTTGGCCGAATTTAACCTAACTTGGCTACAATAATCATTGGGGTATTTAGTTTTAAAACTGTGTCCGATGACCCCGCCTGTCATCCAACATGGCCGCCATGGCTCAAAATAGAACACAGGGTTAAAATGCAAGTTTTGTCTATTATTTTGAAAACCGCTATAGTTGGAGAAAATATAACAATGGCACACATTTTCAGAATTTTAAGATCTTCCTACTGTCTGTTTACGTCAAAACTGTCGGACAACTTCTTATAGGAGCTATTGTCCTTAAATGACAAATGTTACCATTTTTTCTTCATTTTTGACTGTTATCTTTAAAATTATGAAAGATAGAGAGAAATTTTTTTTTAGCAAAAATGATAAGCAAGACAAGATCTACATATAAGTCGACATAGCCGAAATTGTCAGACAACTGCTTTTTAAAGCTATTGCCCTTTCATGATGTATTTTACCATTTTATTGCGTTTTTGCCAAATACTAAGTATATTAAAAACTATGATAGATAGATAGACATTTTGAATAGGAAAAATAATCAGCAAGACAAGATCTACAAATAAATTAACAAAGTCGAAGTCGTTAGTCGACTGCTTACAGGAGTTCTTGCTCTTTTATGAAAATGTTTACCATTTATTTGCGTTTTTGCCTATTATCTTGAAAACTATAATAGATAGACAGTTTAAATAACAAAAATGATCAGCAAGACAAGATCTCCAAATAAGTCAAGTTTTGCTTAACTCTTTAGTAGACTTTTATTTATAGGAGTGATTGCCCTTAAATGACGATTTTTATTATCTTTTTTTTTTGTGTTTTGGGCAAAAACTTAAGAAGGTAGAGTGAAACTATAAACAGAATGATCAGCAATACAAGATCTACAAATAGAGATTTTTGTCATGAATTCTGTTCTAGTCTACAATGTTGGAAGGTGTCCATTGCTGAAGATGCAAATAGACCTATAGGTGAGCGACACAGTCCCTTTAGAGCTAATGTAAGTTCAGATAGGACTTTATAGATAAAAATATACTACAAGCACTGCAGTATACACAAAAGAAAATGCTTATGTTTCAAACTTTGAACAAATAAATGAATATCAATTCTTACAATGCAAAACAAAATGAATGATAACAACTGTAGAAGAGTAGCCTTCAAAGGTATTTACACCTCATACAACAGAATGCAAAACACCATTACTTATTAGATCCATGCAAGCCTATTGGATCAAAGTCGTATTGGCGATTACATGATTTTCTTTTTTTTTAATTGTAGAAAAAGTCCTGGTAGTCAAAAGAAGGATAAACAACAAACTGGGTAAGTGTGTCGTTCACTGTATATAAAATGAAATTTGATAAATGTTTTTGTATGTAAATTAAGGAATAACAGTACTGAGTTGCTACTGTCAATTGACGATTTGATGGTCGCAAATGCAGTTTTACTGATATTTGCGAGTGTCAAATTCCAATTGACGGAGGCAACTCTTCGACTGCATTACTGTTATTCCGATTCTTATACATTACAGAAAGAATTGATGCGTTAGAGCTTTAACAAATGTATAAATTTTAGATAAAATGAAATTCCACGAAACATAATGTTTGTTGTATTCGTGTGTTATGGTAAAGATAATTAATCAACCAGTTCATTAATTAGATTTTAGTTTGGGTCAACTAAATTTATACGATATATTTGGTTTACAGTTTGATTTAGAAGAAACACCGACATAGCTACATAATACTATTAATTATCTAATTACTACCACATTTTATTTTAACTAGTATTGTAATTTTCATTGTTATTAATAAATGTTATATAAGTATTATAAACCAAATCTTGAATTCTATCCTAATTCTATCCTATTTTGGGGAAATTTCAGAAATTCAAATGTGACGTTACTTTTTTTGCGTTGATCTCTTTGGCTAACTCGGCTGTGAATTTTTATGTGCTGGTTTATGTTGTTTTATGTATCCGTTTTTATTCTGTAGTTAGTCACCACTTCGGTGTTATCATGTATATCTATTATATAGTCATTTTTTATAAATTTACTGTTTGCAAAAGTATGAATTATTCTAAATACAAAGGATTTTCTTATCTCAGACATATAACCTTAGCCGTATTTGGCACAACTTTTTGGAACTTTTGGTCCTCAATGCTCTTCTACTTTGTACTTGTTTTGGCTTTTTGATCTGAGCGTCACTGGTTAGTCTTGTGTGGACGAAACGCGTGTCTTGCGTATTGAATTTTAAACCTGGTACCTTTTGTTAGCTATTATTCGTATGTTTCTCTAGATCTGTCCTATATGTTCTCCCATTTATTTGTATTGTAGTCCTGTCAAGTAATGTTGTCATTTTAATGTTATATTTAACATTGCCATAAAAGCGGGAGGTTTGGCTAGCCACAAAACCAGGTTCAACCCACCATTTGTTCTTAAAATGTCCTGTACCAAGTCAGAAAAATGGCCATTGTTATATTATAGTTCGTTTCTGTGTGTGTTACATTTTAATGTTGTGTTTCTTTTGTGTCGTAGTTCTCCTCTTATATTTGATGTGTTTCCCTCAGTTTTAGTTTGTAACCCGGATTTGTTTTTTTTCTCAATCGATTTATGAATTTTGAACAGCTGTATACTACTGTTGCCTTTATTTTTTTGATATTGGCGCATATAATGTATAGGTTAAATGTGTCAAATGAAAAATTGTTACATAAAAATTGCATTAGAATTTGTGATATTTAGCCATCACGATGACACAAAGAATTAAACAAAAAACGTCATTGTTTGCATACCTCACTGAAGAATTTTCTATTTCAATTTCAGCAGTGCTGCAGCTAAAAAAAGTAACAGGTAATATATAAATACTAGTATTTAAATATAAAAATGATTTTGCTTTCAACAACAACTGTACAAGACCAACATTTAATTTTTCACGAACAAGTATTTCTTTAACGTTAAATGTTTTAGATTTAAGTACCACGTATAAAACAATTTAAAAATGAATAGCTATCACTTTTACTTTAACGAAAAATGGTACAATTAATGATTGATAGTTTTGATTTGATATCAACAGATTTATCTGTTGTTAACAGTGAATTGATAGTATGATGGTGCTTCCTTGTGATATCATCATGGGGCAAATGCTCAAGTCAATAATACAAAATAATTTTCTCAAACAAAAATATACTGTGAATATTCTAAATTGTAGTACATCATATACTAAAAAAATCAAATAAAGGCGGTTGTTATGAATTCAAGTGCAAAATAAAAATCATCACGAAAAAAATACATCAGCACTGTAAATTTTTCTCTTTTGTTTCAACAGAGGAAGCAAAGGCAAAAGAAACAAGAAACGGTTAAATTATGTAGATCCTGACATCTGTACTATTATTTGTCTGCTTGTCTTTTTGTTTTTGGCCATGGCGTTGTCAGTTTGTTTTCGATCTATGAGTTTGACTGTCCCTCTGGTATCTTTCGTCCCTCTGTTAAGAATCAATGTCTAAAATCTTAGTTATTAGCATATCAAAATTCGAAGTCATAGGACAAGGATTTCTAGAGCAAATGATACAAAAATATTTCTCAAACATACTGTAAATGCTTTAGAATATAACACCTATTAATTACTTCCTATACTAAAAATGTCAAATAAAGGAGGAAGAAATGCAATATAACATCATTGAAAACATACTACATTAGCACTGTTTTTTCTCCTTCATGTTTTTTCAGCGGAAGAAAAGGCAAAAGAAACAAGAAACGGTAACTTGTGTAGATCTTTGACACCTGTTAAGAATTAATATCTAAAATCTAAATTACAAGTATATCAAAATTCAAAGTCATAAAACAAGGATTCTTAGAGTAAATGATAAAAATAATTTCCTCAAACGAAAACATACTGTAAATATTATAGAATGTAAAACCTAAGTACTTCATATACTAAAAATTTCAAAAAAGGAGGTTGAAATTAATTAAAGGGCAATATAAAAACATTGAAAACAACTATATGTTCTCCTCCATTTTTGCAGCGGAAGAAAAGGCAGAAGAAACAAGAAACAGTAAAGTAACAAAGATCTTTCCCACTCTAGAAATCTAATTGACAGTCTTATAATTTGTCATTATCAGTTGTAAAAGCTCCAACAGTGTTATTTAAGAAGAATTCTTAAAGCAAATGGTATCAGTTGAAGTCATCATTTTGAAAGTTTTACGGACGCTATCATGATTTGGTTGACTATGATTTAAAATGTGTTGGACAGTTAACCACGGACATGTATTAGTATTGTAACGCAAATTCCACCGTTCTCTCCTCGATTATGACATGAATGCGACTTATAACCCTGTTTTTACGTGCCAAGAAGACACGACAATTGCCACTGACGAAACAAGAAATGCTTACCCATCAGGAATACATGATTTCATTACCGGCTGTATTCGTATCATCTCTCTCCTATGATTACTATGATAAGGGAATATCAACCCATTATAACGAAACATATTTAACAAATCCTTGAATTTCATTGGTTTAAATACTATTGATTCATTTATAATAAATGCTTAATATGGCAATATGTTTAGTTTGTATATATATCTGTATATTAGTTTGTCAAACAGCATCACCATACCTATAGATAGATCTAGATAAAATGTCTGAATATACACAGACAGACAGACAGACTAAAAGGCACATTTTTTATTGCTACGATGCGTTAAAAATCAGTATAGTTCATACCTATACTCTTGGCCACCAACCACCACGATAAAAATATACGAGTTTCCATTGTCTGTAATAATTGACATATGATATATCGACCCTCGACAAATTGTCCTCGATAGAACAATGAATCACAGATAGTAAAAATTCATTCAATATCTTACTGTAAGAATGATTGGTAATAACTATAACCACACTCACCGTTAAGTAACCATATGATAAAACCTCAATGGTATTTTAAATCGCTGTGTAAAATCAATATTGAAATTTTACAGACGATGTCAATGTAAAGTTGCTTCTGTAAAGACAATCAGAAACTGTAGAAAAACCGGAAGAAGGAAGACATGTTCAAAGTCAGTACTAGTTGTTTTCATTTAATCTAAGAAACAGTTGCATGAATATACAATTATCTATATGGTACTCACGTTTTTAGGAGCTTTTAATAATTTAAACAATTGCCATACTAGTATCTAAACACAAACAATAATACAGCTGGCTATTGTGAATGTTTTAATTTGTTAATATTGAAGGTTCAGCATTCGAAGAATGTTTTTGATAAAGTCTCCTCATATCTTAGTGGCGTCAGTCGCGAAGATATGAGACGACTATATGTAATTTAGATAATAATAGTTTAATGTGTTTATTGCGTTTTGATAATTATCTCAGGGACTGTATAGATTTTACAGGATTTCACAATTTTATCTGTGTTAGAGCTTTCTGACCAAAACAGCAAATTTGATGTAAAAGAGACAAATCTGTAATTCAAATATGTATGTTTGTTACCAGTTTAATAACGTAAAATTTGTTTCCATGATATGTCTTATATCTTATGTTTGATAACGAATGTCTTTTTACTGTATCTACAGGGTGAAACAGTACTTCTTCACAAAAAAACAATGCAGCTACCCATTTGATGGTATGTAACTTTACAGTTGAATTTTTCCTGTTAAGCAAATATCCTCGTTGTGTATTTACGTACTACATTGGAAGCCTTGCATTTTGTTATGACAATTTACAGGTTGTTTCTGGTTGAATGTTTTCCCCAATTTTATGATATATATCAAAAATTGATATATTTTGAGCTACTCCGCTTTGAAAAACATCGATATATCTAGGATGTACTCGGGTATCGTAGTATTTAAAAAAATAATCGCACAAAGCAGAACAATTCAAATGAATTTGTATATTATTGATTAGACTCCTTACTTTTATAAAAAAAAAAAAAAAATCAACCCTCGCATGGTTCAAATCAGATTTTTTTTTCTCTCAAAACACAGTTGGTAAGATCCCAAGATCCTGGGTTTTCTAAGATTTTTATGAGAGAAGCGGCTATTTATAAGGAAACTTTTGAACCAAGTTCTTTTTATGGTTAAGTTAAGGTCTTCTCTTCCAAAGTTAAAAGCATAACGGACTTCATCATAATTTGGTTGACACCATAATAAGTGTATTGGATATCTGTGTCACAGATAAAAACGAAAATGTTAGATTGTTCGTATCCACCATCCTACCTGTCCTATTTATGATAAATGCGGCTTATCGTCGGATATTTGCGTGTAATAAACTAACAGAAAGAACGCCTCACTCCATCTCTACTTTTGTAATTGGGTCATGCTGCTCATGGCAAGGACATTAATTATAATATCATCATAGGTGCTTCTAAAAGAATTGGCAATGCTTACCAATCATGAGAACTGAATTTACTCTCCCGGTTTTGCTAATGGGTTGATATTACCCAGCTTTTAATTTCAGTGTAGTGGCTTTTCGTCTTTTTCCCTTTGGTTTCGTCAACATTTTTTATTGATCACATAGTTTCTTGTTTCCTTTTAAGTAACATGTAGAAAGGGACAATTAACAGAGTATATTTACGATTCTGGGAACACAACATGTGCTAAATTGCGCGAGCTCTTTGGTGACTCTTGCAAAATGAATATTGGTTTAAAAGTAGAAAGAATTCTTTACTGTCGATAAATCTTGTTTGGTCAAAATATATATCAATATTAAAGTTATACATAATATAATAAGGAATGTAAAAGTTTCACATAACACAAAAAGACGTAAATTACTCAACTAAAAAACTATATAAGCATTAAAAAATGTAGTAGTAAAAATAGTTATTTTTTCATTTCGTTCTTTTTAAAAAAAAATCATCAACTTTATTTGTTCAAATCCTTAAATTTTCATAAATTTGGATTATAGATTTAAGCACAGCAGAGACTGATAACTCAGGATCAAATGACGAAACCGGTTCAAATGATGGATCAGATGATGAGACTGGACCTAACGACGGAACAGGATCAGACGATGGCACGGGATCTAACGATGAAACTGGGTCGGACGATGGGAATGACGATGGGACCGGGACTGGCGGTGGACTTGATGAAGAAGCGGGCGAAACACCACCTGGAGATGGAGAAGATATTGACTTAGTCGACATCATTCTCATTGGTGACTGTACGGATACTGAAAACCCGGAGTGTGAGTATACAAAAACGTATCCAGAAAATTAAGAAGATATCTGAATTCTGAATAAGTATTGCTTGTCACAATAACTAGTTTGGAGTATTTTGCATTTCCTGAGGTTAAATTTATGTTGTTATGGATGTTGCCTTATTGTATACTACAATACCAGTATAACTTATCTTTATTTCATGGTTTTGCATTTCTGCTGTGTTTCTTTATTATAATTTCATAGCTGTCATTTACATAAAACGGCGGATGATAAAAAAAAATAACATATAAAATACGACCATATGGTTTACATTGTAGATGTGTTGGGAAAATGTGCTACCAGTATCAAGGAAGACCCACCACTGTATTACTTTGAGACCAGCTGTCCTACGCATTTCATCCAGTGTGACGAGCATGGAGGTGCAGATATAAAACCCTGTGCACCTGAAACTGAATGGTGTCAACATAAGTTAACATGTGACCATGTCGGCAGTTGTGACACTTAACTATATACTATCAGGTATGATATGTATCCATGTAAATAATCATCTGGAAATGGCTATATGAAATGTTCTAAAATACACAGTACTTTGGAAGTCTAAAATCATTAGCAATTATCGCCCGCAAAAAGGCAGAAAGTAACTTGAATTGAATTCCTGGTGGCTGCATTCAGAAATTTCCTTAGAGGTAATGGATTAAGATAGGTATAAGGTACCAAAACTTCCGCTCAAACGACACTCTCTTGGTGGTTCATATTGTTTAAACTTTTCACAGAAAAAAACAAAGTTGAAAAAAAGAGTAACACAAAAATATTGAACTCCAAGGCAAAATCAAAAAGGGGAAGTCCATAATAACTGACAAAGTCAAACTTTATCAATCAACGGAATAAAGTATACATGTTAACTAACACTAAACTGTGGAACAGGACCGACATACGCTTTCTGAGAACCAGAGTTCAACCCCGGTTTTTGGTGAAGTCCGCGTTGCTCAGTCTTCAATTTTCTATTTAGTGTTTTATGATATGACGTTGTCAGATTGTCTTCGACTTATGAGTTTTGAATATCCTCTTGATATCTTCCACCACTTTTTGTATTATGTAAAATGAATTTGAAAAGATGCGATATAGATGCATTGAAAATTGCTTAAGAAATTAAATACTTTTTAGAACATTAATAAACAAGCATAAGGTAATAACACTTTATCCTCTGCTAGTCTCACTCAATTTTTTAAAGTTCATGAAAGTTAGAGGAATCCATAGTTAAACGATGTTAAAATACTGTAAATTCATTCAACCTATACAAAACAATGAACTTCAAACGGAGCGAGACCGGATTCGTCAACACATAAAGCATATCGCGCATCACCCTTCATACGAATCCACACTATTAAAGTCAAAATGTCACAACAATAGAGACTTGAGGGAGTTCGATACTTAATAGTAAAATTCAGTTTTTTCTTCCCATTTATATGTTGTTTTCTTTTTAAAATCACATTGAAAACATAGATCTTCAACTTCCGTTCTATCAGTCAATAAAAAAACCCGACGAAATATAGACAAAACCATCATTTTTTTGTGTTATATGTTTATAGTGATTTATTTATTTTTTTCAGAACGTAGTGGACTTCATCGATAATCAGATTTCATGTAACTTCTTAAAATGTTGATTTAAGTTTTATCATAAAACTAACTTTAAGTTATCTCCGTATTTTCATCTGCATAATTGTCTTACATTAGAAATTTAGTGTTCATCAATGACATCGTATTAATAAATGTATTTCTACATTGCTGTGTCGTTTCTTTGTACTCTGAAATTGGGTATATGAGATACGTTTGCCATGGTAAAAAAAATCACCAAAGATACCGGGCTTGTAAGAAAGACTACAATAGACTCATCAGTGACGATTTGTTGAGAGGTAGCACATGACGTTATGTGATTCCCTGTGTCTAAAAGCTTTAAAATATGACAAATTTTTGCATACACGGTTGCTTTATTTCACCAATTATACACAAAGTATACAATTTGTATTCATAATCTTCTGGATTGTATTGGCACAAAAATGCACGTTTTGCAGTTTCATACATGCATTTAGTTTTTTTAGTTTTAATGTTGTTCTTCTAGCCACCATTTGAGAGATGATAAGAGTACATTTGCAGACATCTGTTAGTTTTATCCATGTTCTGGTTGTGATACTTTTTTTAAATTAAATATGAGTTCGGAATAGCATGATTGAATGATGCACTTATATCAAGTTGACGCACCAGGAGTTGCTCAAATGCGGTAGGATTAGACAGGTTCAAGCGTACTATCATCTTTTTGTTTCTTTCTAAAAGATTCACATCGTGTTTTGAATCTAACATGTACTTTTTAATTGTTGAAAATCTGACATCGTCAACAATGAAAATTTTTCAGAACATAGTTTATTTGCTTTTACGTCATTCTGTCAGATATGAAGGTTTTAGCTCCACTTATATATGTAACAGATTTCTAAAGAACTTGAGGTGTGCGGTTGACGTACGTAGCGTATTTTTAAGGAACCAAAACATCTTTTTACTTTGCATTTCGTTGTAAAGTCGTTTTTAATCGATCCTTATGCTGAACAGTGCATGATCTGTACGTCCAAGCGTTTTTAAGTACTCTGGAATACTGATTTAATATAACATATTAATTGCTTATTGTTTTTAAAAATTTGGAATAAAAATATCATAAATATAATAACAGCATCGTTTACTTACAATAAACATCGTTCCAGTTCTATAAATATGATAAGATGACATTGACAGTGTGTAATTTAACAAAATGTGCGTCAGGCTCAACAAATACAACTAAAAATACAAACCATTTTGCTCTTTATAAAACCAAGAAACCAAAGAACTATTGAACACTTTAAACACTTTAACTCGAAAAAAGTCGATGTCAAAATGTTACTTTCTTGTAGTTTAATATTCCCAATTGTGCAATTTGTTTTTCCAAGTAAATCGAATAGTTGTCCTGTTTCAAAGAAATTATTTGCAACTTTTTGGTAAATGTAGATGTTACCATATAATGCCAAACTGTCTTCTTGCGTAACTTCCAGTGGAAAATATTTTATTAATATTCTGGACTAGAACAAAAAAATATTGACGAAAATATCGAAATCTAAGGTAAATTCAAAGTTGTGCATCAAACCTGACCAAATCAAACGCTCGGCTATATCAAATGACGGAAAGAATGGAAAACAATTACCATATTAACATAATGACCGGGATATTTGGACTTCCACTGGGAAATAATGGTATGTTGGATTGGGGTAGATTTATTTTACTTGCAACGTGCCACCTAGAGGAGACCGATGAATTGAATATAAAAATGAAAAAATGACAGAAAACACTGACAAGCTTCTGGACGATAAGATAGAGAAGGTCTTTTTTGGCTTGTCACTTTGTAGAACTTTGTCCTCAATTTGACGTGCAGAGAGCGTGGCAATTACTTCACAAGGTGTTTCTGAATTAGTGAACCCATACCGATCTAACGATAGTATTCCAACCAGAAGGTCACACATAAGTAATATGTTGGTAATAGTCACAGTTATATTAAAATTGCATTAATGGTAAACGGCATTGGTTAGTAGAGATTGGTAACTCTGGCTAAATAAGACTATTAAACAATATTAAATAAAAAGGAATTACAAAACATGTTGAACAGTTCAACAAATCACATCATAAAAAACACATGATCCTTCCGAAAAAACAGACATACAATCAAACGGTATAGATAGTCTGAGAGGGTACTGGCACAAGAAGCATTCAAACACTTGTATTATGTATGCGCTAATTGATTTAGAAATGTTTAACAACTAAAATATGCCTATTTTCGTTTATCTAATATTGGAAGTGAAATCTAAGGCAATAGTTCAGTATAGTATTACTTTGATGCCATGTTCCGGTATCTTTTTCATTCGTCAGTGTGTTTCTTGCGAATATTTGACTTTATTAGTAATTACTCAAAATCAAAATATGTAATATTTGTTTTTACTGTTGCTGTGATGATTGACTCATTCGAAATGTAGTCGGTGCGTTTGCCATTATTTGACTCACTAATTAAAATTAATTGATTTCCAATTGAAAAATGAAGAACGATTTCAGAAAAAAAAAACAATTCAATCTTGTTTCATTTATTATTATCTTTAAAGAATATGCAAACCAATATACTCACGATCAACGTCTATTCTAAAAAACAATGTCCATATATACTGAGTAGATTTTAGAAAAATCTCTTCACAGGGATAATTTGCGAGTGCATGCAATAGCCAGGCTTATTATATAGTATGGGTTTTGCCAGTTGTTAAAGGTCGTACGGTTATCTATAGTTGCTGATATCCACGTCCGTTTGTGTTTGGTGGATAGTTATATCACTGGCAATAATACCACCTCTTCTTATTTTTGCATTGTTATTCCCGAGTGCTGCAAAAACAGATCATGCAAGCTTACCAGTGTTGTACAGGAATGCTGCATTTGATCATACTCTATTTTTGTCTACAGATCTGAATCCATTTTAGTAATTTAAGTGGATAGTTTATGATATCACTTCTATTGAAATACATGTATTCTTACAAAAAATGAGGTTCGGTCCAAATAGACTCGTTTAATGTGTACATGGGCTTAACGTCTAATTTTTAGGTCACATTTGGATATGTATATTTCAATATGCTTTCCAAACATTTTACTTTGAGATTTCCTGACAAGCAGGGTCATTGAAAGTAAAAACAAATTGTAATTGTAATATGGAGATAGCCGTAAACCACAAAAGAACTTGTAAATATGAAACAAATATAATTGGCAACAACAAAACTGCACCCTCCATTAATTAAAAAACAGATACATTGAGATTTCATTAATCGTTTCCAAAATCGATAAAGTTGGTTAATGAGAAAACAAAATAATAAAGTTCGTTATTCTATTCCTTATTGGTGTGTTGTATCTCCAGACGATAAACATGGCTCTCATCTGATATCATTAGGCATATTGTCAATTGTACTTGGTGCCTTTTTATTTGATATATCCCACTTACAGGAGCTTTATATCAAATATTTGTTTATTTCCTTTTTAAACATGTGATATTACAGACTTAAAACAATATATCAATATAATGTCTGCTTTAAAGACTCTTAAAAACGTTAGAGTACATATGTTGTAAAAAAAGAAGCAAAGTTTCATTTTCCGAAATGATTTGCCGAATGTATACGTGAAATACACCAAAGACCATTCCCTTTCTTTGTTTAATCGGATGGCTGAAATTGTCCTTACAATTGAATTTTGTCATGTGTTCCCGATAAACGATGTTATCAATGATGACAATATTTGACAGGTGTAACTAAAATATTTTGATTAAATTCAAAAACAGCTTGGTCATGCTAATAAGCTAAACTATTTGCAGGGATTTTCAGGTTTTGAAATCATCTGTAGTAATACTAATATTTTTCTTTTGTTATAAAAGATATGAAAAAATCCTGACCATTTTCTGACAATGTCAATGTCTTACTTGGCAATATTTTGTTCGTTATGGCAATATTTTGTATCGTCAAATCATCGGAATTCCTAAGTGTGCATCTTTAATTACCGATAGTTTTATAAAGTTTTAAATCACCTTTCAAGTAAAAACTTCATAAAGGGAAAATAAAAATTCTGATAAGTTAATCATTTTGTACCATGAAAGCAGATACTTTGATGAAATAATAACTGTTTATAACAATACAAGAATAAGAAGATGTGGTATGGTTGCCAATGAGACAACTCTCCACCAAGGAGCAAATGACATAGAAACATTAATAAACGCATTCATCCTAAAGAACAGTAGCTAGATAAGGTTAATAATAACAGTCTACATTGCGAATTTTTGACATAACTGTTTTCGAACAAAACGGAAACAGTAAACTAACTACATAATGTGCTACAAAAGTAACGAGTTCAACCTTGTAATTACAAACCTCCCTTTTTGGACGGAGATGTTCCTCTTGTCGCATCCTATGGCGTATACATTTTACACATTTAACGATTTGCTACAATATGTTTCTCGCTTTACGAACGGAACCTTGCATTAACACAAGAGTTACTTATACAGTGTTGCAGATACCATAGACTTTTGATTACTTTCAAAAAGTTTTACAGTACCTTACCTGTATGCCTCATTGACAATATATTTGTTACGTTTGGAGGACGTTTTTTTGTTCTACTCTACAAACAATCGGTATTCCCATGAGAACCAACTATGCTCCTCTTTTTGGATGTTTTGGATGTTTCAGTTTTGTTGTTGATGTTGTTTGATTGTTACATCAAATCGCATACTCGACACCTCTTTTTATTCTAGAATTGAATGCTCCTTTTTGTACTTTTATTGGGGTGTAAAAGCGTTGACCGAAGCACATTTTGTATGAAGTGCGTAAATGAGTTTTCGGGCACTTTTACTGTGCTTATCCTGAAGGCTTTGGCCTATCTCATAGCAATTGCTCAAATAGTTTACCAAATTGCAGTTTGAATTCTTCTCCCACAAAACTGTAGACATTAACAGCAATACAAGTTTTGCAGAAATACTAATATAACAGAAACAACCTCTCGATTCCAAATAAGAGTAAGAATGAAATGCAAATATGATATTGAAAATTGAGGTCGGTTGCCAAGGGAACAACTGATGGGGACAAAAATTTCAGAAAATCTAGTTTACTAAACGCTATATAAATAAAAATCAGACGATTTCTTTTCCTAATAGTTAAATGGAATTAAATAAGACTTTATTGTAATAAAACATA